GTGGGGATGATCTCCATCTTGCGCTGCAGCTTTGACATCATTGTCCCGTGCGTCATGGACACGGCAGGTCGTTGCAAGTTGCCGCTTCAGGTCTCGGGAGACATGCTGAAGCTTGAGAAGATGCTGGGCTGCCCGGTGGCCGGTGCCAATTTGAAGGACTTGTTGGCACAAGAGAGGGACCGCACCGACTTCTCCGAGTACGTCCGCAACGTGGTGCGCCAGGCGGACTGCCCGCAAGCCTTCTCGGAGGCAACCTTGACCACTTCGGGTGTGTGGAGCTGTGGCGCGGGTGTCACGCCTCCCATGGCGCAGGTCTTGCACAGCAAAGTGCGTGCAGGGTCCGCCCAGCTCCGTGCCACCATACATTTGTCGGTGGTGCCACGTTCGGCCATGAGCAATTGCAAGGAGCGTAACATTGTGGCAGCGATTCAATTCGAAGAGTTGGAGGACCAAGCTGATCCGGACCTTGATACCGCAGAGGCCTCCGGATACGAGTCGTTCAAGGACCAACGACAGACTTCAGCAGGCGGGGCAGCGCAGGGCGGAAGACCGGATGGAGCTGCGACCTTCCACGACCTTCCAGACTATATTGTTTTATAGGGAATAGACTAGATTAATAGATGGTCATAGATGGTATATAGTAATACGTTTCAATCTTGAAGCGTCTAGCACAGTGCGGTTACTTGTCATGCATCAAAGCTATTCACAGTGCTACTCTTCGCAGTAAAGACCATGAACGCCATCATGAACGCAAGACTGTGGGATTTGGCTTTGCAATGTGCTCCAACAACATCCCACTACAATCTTTGATGTCCCTTGGACTGCTGCACAAATGAACGAGCGGGCCGTACCCTGGCTGTTCCCCGTAAAACGGTGACCGCACAGAGCATGATTATGAGGTGCAACTGCCCCTGATCAGGTCAATCCACAAATGCCTCCTCGGGTATTGTTGCTAACCTTCAAGACCTCCAGAAGCTTGGAGCTACCCTTCAAGCAGACGACTTTGAAGATGATGCCTCGGCCTACTGGGGTCAGACCAGGAGCAGTTGCGGGCTGCAGTATGCAGCGGCGCTGCCATTTGCTGCCTTTCTCTTTTCACAAGATATTCTTGTGTTTTCTCGTTTCACCAAATCTGGCGCAGTTTTAAACTGCGCGAGATTTGGTGAACATTATCGCGATTATATACTGTATTCCATTTTGTTGGCCTGGTCAGGAGCGATGAAACCATGTCCCACCTGGGTGCTTTTGTGTCCGACCACAGCTTCGATGCCCGCATTTGTGGAGTTTGGGAGGGGAAGACCAGTGAGACCTTGGGCGGCTACACGCAGCAAATCGAGTTTGAGATGGATTGCCGCAGTGCCAAGGTCACTGTGCTGGGCCAGAGCCTGGGTGAATTAAGTTGAAAGATTTGGAAGTTGATGACTGGGTGGTGCCAGAAAAGTGCCCCTTCTGGGTTGGTCTCATTTGGAAGGCGGTGGATCTTCCAAACTTAGCGCTAAAACAATAGACAGGAATTTCATGGAATTTCCATCCGACGAGGTTCTACCAGGTCCTACCACCCTCTCCAAGAAGGACCACATGATTCCACCCGCCAGGGCCCTGAAGTTTTTGGCTTACCAAAGACGCAGCTTAGGACGTTGAATGCTCGTTTCTCCATGAACTGCTCGGCGGAGCCCAAGCAGTTGAACATCCAAGTGCTTCCCACCAGTGGCACGGTGCCACCCATGATCCCTTACATTTTCAAGCGCCTTTGGCACAAGATATGCAAGCAGAATTGCTGAAGGTCTATGGGAGAAAGCATCGAAAAGCAGTCGAACAAGCAGCACAGGCGTCGTTCAAACCGAGCCTGTGCTGGCACATAGAAAAGCACCAACAAAATGACATGACTGAGCGACTACTCTCAAGACAATGCCCACTACTTCGGCGCGTGTCGTGTCTGCAGTGCAACACGAGGTTTGCTGACGATGGCTCGCTCTATTTGTGCGGTCCGGCTGACAGCAGCATGCGCCGTGCTACCAGCTTCGGAGGCA